CTGTTTTTATGAAAGTTCCATTCCTTGGTTTCCTTGGTAACCTTTGTTTGCTATCAGCTGATGTTTTATTTCCATTTCTGGACCAAGTCAACGGATTTTATACTTCCTTTTTTTTTTTTTTTAAATCATTGCCAGGTTAGTTCTAATTTTTTTGCCAGTATTTATTCTACCCCTCCCCTCCCAGCTCATTTTTCTAACTCCCGTAGCCCCCCCCCCCAAATAATTTTATTTATATTTTTTTTTCTTATGGCATGCCTTGCACCCCTACCATCATATTTTGGGGTTTCATTCGTAGGGATAAAATATTGTATTGTATATAGATCTTCGATATATCGTTCGATATAAAGCAGGATAGACAGGGATAAGACGGAATTTATTGATATTCACCGGGATAAAAGGTAGGAATTTTAAGAAAAGGGGTATAATCAGTGTGAAAGGGGGTAGATAAGAATTAAACAGGATAAATAGTGATAAAACAGGGTAATGTCTATCGATCTTCGATTTATAGTTAGATATAAGATGTGATAGACATGGATAAAACGGGATGGAGAACGACATTGATATTAATTGAGTTAAATGGAGGAAGTTTGAGAAAAGGAGAATGGACCACTAGACAAGGTACGAATTTAAGCATTCTGATACATGTCTCTTAACCAAAATTTCACGCAAAACACGATTCGCGCAACGAAAATGACTGAAACCAACTCCTAACGAAGATATTAACGTTTTTATATCACATTGGTCACGAGGAATTTGAGCTGCCCGCTGCGAAGAAACTCAAAGCTCTACGTGAGTCAAATCGCCCACTAAAACGGTTTCAACAAGCTCCTCAATCGAGTAATGTTCATTTCCCACCATGTGTTGTTCAAACTGCAAGCAATTTGCTATAGCTGAGCCAAAGTATCAAGATTGAGGTTGCCAGATTTGTATATCGTAAAGACTGTCATGATAACGTTTAGCGCGCGATGTGAATCACGTAGAGCATTGAGTTTTCATGAGCGGGTGGTTTGAATTCACGCATCAAGAATCATTAAAATCTTCGTAAGGAGTTCATTTCGGTAAATTTCGTCGTGTGCATCGTGTTTTACGTGTAATTTTGGTTAAGAAACATGTATCAGAATGCTGGAATTCGTACCTTATCTAGTGGTCCATAATCAGTGTGTAACCGTAAAGATAAGGATAAAACAGGATAGGTAGGGTTATCCCACCCTTCGATACATCGATCTTTGATAAATTGTCCGATAAACAGGATGGGAAAGTGGCATAATCAATTTGAAACGGGATAGATAGAATAAATCAGGATAGATATGGGTAATATTGGATATAGATAGGGATAAAACGGGATGTATTGATATTAACCAGGATAAAAGGTATGTTTATCGTGTTTGAAGATTTTGCTGTGTTTGTTGTGTTTGATGTATTTGTTGTGTTTGTAGTGTTCGTCGTGTTTCATATGTTTGCTGTGTTTGCTGTGTTTGTTGTGTTTGATGTGTTTAACGCGTTTGTTGTGTTTGATGCATTTGTTGTGTTTGATGTTTTTATTGTGTTTGATTTTTTTGTTATGTTTGATGTTTTTGTTGTGTTTGATGTTTCATGTGTTTTTGTCGTGTTTGATGTGTTTGATGAGTTTGCTGTATTTGTTGTGCTGGATGTGTTTGATGTGATTGTTGTGCCTGTTGTGTTTAATGCGTTTGTCAAGTGTGATGTGTTCGTCGCATTTGATGAGTTTGCTATATTTGTTGTGTTTGATGCGCTTGTTGTATTTAATGCGTTTGTTGTGTTTGTTGTGTTCGTTTTGTTTCTACTCAACTCACCTATATTCTATCTTCAAGTATACAGGGCGTCCCAAAAGTCCCTTCCACCCCTCCTAAAATTTTACCTAATTAAAATTTTGAAACAAAACTTCGGGAATGTTCAAAGATCCATGTAAGCTACTTTCAAGGCCCCCAAACTTTGCCCCCCCCCCCGGGGGGGGAGGGGCTACGGGTCCCAACTTTTTTTTTCAAACGGCAACATCTCCTTTGTGACACATCAATTCAAAGAGAATTAAAAAAGAAAATTTTTGGCACAAACCGCTAGTCAAACTTTTGATTTTTGACAAACTGGCCGCCGGTCAAATTTCAAAATATCGGAAATCTAATTCCCCGTTTTCGTCGATGGATTGGGATGAAACTTGGTTCTCATAGGTTTTTTTAAACTAGAAAAACGATTCTGGCATTATTTTTTCGGAAAATTTTTGTCCTTTTCAAAATGGCGGCGGTCAATATGGCGACCTTGAGCGGCAAGAGAATAAATTAGGCTGCTTATCGGTGAATTTGCATGAAACTTGGTATCAGGGGACACTTCGGCATGAATAAGACGAATCTGTCATCAGATTTTTTGAAATTCTGAATAACTTCAAAATGGCGAGGAAAACGGTGGAAACTTGGAATCACGGACGTTTACGGGTGGATTCGCATGCTGCCATTTTGAAAGTATTTGACATTTCGGATATGCATTGCGGAAGAGTCATGTTTTGTCGAACCAAAAACTAACAGGACCCAGAGTTTCATTCGCATCCAACCGTAAACGTACGTAATACCAAGTTTCTGCATTTTCCAGATGCAAAAGGATTGATAAGCATAAAACTGCATTTATCCCGTTTAATCTAAGTTCATCCTAATTCAGTAACATTCATCCTTGCCGGACAAAGAATTTGATTTTAAATTAATTGAATTATAAATAAATTAAATGTGTCGAGTTTTATAAATTGAGATTAAAATAAAAAAAAAAATCTAATCACACATTGGTAGGTTATAGGTTATGTTACATTTTTTTTGTCTACCGGATCAAGACCCCCTTCACGCTCTTAACCTCTCACCATAAATTGTGCTGAACACTTATCAAGTGGATTGCCGATCTCTCCAATTAAAAAAAAAAGAAAAAAAAGTGTTTACCAAACAGGAAAAGATTACAGTAACGCCATTTCAGTTCACCTTAAATTTCAAGGTAGGCAACACGAGTTTCTACGTGGTTGAATGGCGGTATTGTCGTCGTAAAATGACAGTTTGCCTTCAATGATTAGTGTAGGCAACACAAGCTCTCACGTGGTCGAAGAGTGGTATCATCATCCGTGCAATAGACGTCCTCTGTCTGCTAATTTGCTTTCATGTCATGTCGGGACCGCGTTTGTCAGTAAAGTGGTTGTTCCTCTTAACTGTTATTCATTAAGCTGTTTTTATTTTCTTTTACTTCCCGTCCGAGCACATGAACACTAAAAGAGAGAGATGAAGATGATGATTGTGATGCTGAAAATGACCATGAAGAAAAAGGAAAACAACGAATGGTGCAGAACAAGAAGAGTGAAAGAAAATAAGCTAGAATAAATTTAGAGAGAAGAAGAAGATAATGAAAGAGGGGGAAGCAAACATACAGAAGAAATGAAAAGTAAAAAGAAGAAAGCAGTGAGAGGGAGATTGAAATAAAATACGAACGTGGAAATGGTGGAGTAGCTGTTTCATCGTAAAATTGCACGATTACTTGGAACGTTTTTTAAAAAATAGCATTTCACCAAACTGGAGAAGATAAATTAACGTCATTTCATTTCGCCCTCAATTTCAGTGTAGGCAACAGGAGCTTCCGCGTGGTCGAATAGCGGTATCGTCGTGAAATGGCACGCTCACTCAGGCAAAATAAGCTCCCATGTGGTCGAATAGTGGCATCATCCCCGAAACAATATCGGCCTAATGCTCCCCGTAACTGGCTTTCTGCTAGTCGGTAATAAGAGCGCTCTCGTCGTAACTTTTTCTTAGTGGGATTCTTTCGGTGGCTTACAGACAACCGCTAGAACAGCGCCAGAACGGAGCGCTTCGTCGCTTTTGGATAGTCTGTAGCAAAGGAGCACACCTTCGATTCTTTTACCCTCCTAACAGACCAAGATTCAACATTTCCCACTTACCTCAAAACATTCCCCCTTTCTAAGCTATCTGGTCTCCTAGCTCCGATATAAAAAAACGTGGTCCTAATTCCAAATTCTGACTATATCGGGCTCATCTAGGGACCTGTCGATAACCGCAAAAATCATGGAAATCGGCCCAGAAGAACGCTCAAACGAAGTATGATAAAAAATTAAGAATTACATTGTTTAATTGGAAGAATTCGCAACTTTACCACATAATACATATATAAAAAAAACCTGGGTCATATTATCAAAATCTGAATAAAGCGGGCTTATTTAGAGACAATTGCCTGTCGATAGCCGCAAAGATCATGAACATTCGCCCGGTAGAACGCTGGAACTAAGCGTTACCAGATACACAAATTCAGGAGGTCTCGGAGCTTATAGTATAGATGTATGTATGTATTTCCGCCCTTTTAAGATTTTTCGATTTTTGAGTAGATATATCTTCCTTACGCTGCAAGATATTTTGACCGGTTTTTTTTTTTCGTTTTTTAGAGCCTCGTCAGAGCTACTATTCTGCCGAAAAATTTGAAATTTGAGGAGATAGATTTTGAGGAGTGGGGGTCGAAACTGGGGGGAGGTCAAATTTTGTACACTCGATCACTCAAGTTAATTGAAATGGATATTTTTAGCTGAAATTTTGACGGGTGGTAGTACCTACTCCCCTAGGACTGGTTTGATATTAAATGTGAAAAAATCGGCTGAGCCGTTTATTTTTTTTTTCCTATATTATGCAGCTACAAGCAAAATCTTAGAAGCACTATTTCTGACGAACTGCCGGACCGATAAGGATGATCTTTACATGTATGTCATCTGTAGTAGATGAAGATGTGCAAAAAATTATGAAACCCCGAACTTTTAATGTTGTAGAGCTTTTAAAGCTCATGTCACTTAAGTCCAATGTTAATAGCGTGAGAGATATGTCGTTTCAGCTAGAAACGTCAAGGTGTGGGATTCTACCCTGAGTGACTCGAATAAACAATAAAACAATGGAAAAGCTCGTGAAGGGTGTTAAGGTTGGCGATTAGCCGGGTGGGAGAGCAGAGAGAACCCAATTTGATTCGATGACACAAACTTTTATTCCATACTTCACAGAGCACACAGCCCGAATAATCCGACGAAACGCACTCTCATTCCTCACCAACTCGTTGCTTCCCCCTCCAGTGATAAGCCGAGCAATCCACTCCTCTGATTGGCCAGGGGAACTTCTCAAGCGATGCTCCAAAGCAAACTCGAAATTTCCCCGGCCAACAGAGCAGCCGTGCCAACTGAACAAAGGAGAGGCAAGCAACGTCAGGGAGTCGCTATACTTGACATCCCCCCTTGTTGGGAGAGGAGGACCTCCGACGACTAAGATGGATGAGAGTTTAAGTTTTTCTTTTGAAGCGCAAAATTTTGTTAAAGTTAAGCATGTTTTTTGTGAGCAAGTGAAACGTAATAAAGGATGGTTTTAGAATGAGAGTGTTTTTCTGTCTTTGTTATGACAATTAACAATTATGATAAGATACAAGTTAACAATCTACTGTTTCTAGGGGACGATTCTACAAAATAAGGTAAGATTGATTGACAACGGATTGCAAGATAATTTAGCGTGAAGAGGAAGATATCCATCTAGATTAAGAGTTGTTTGTGAAGATGTGTTGAGGTTGAGATAAGCAGGACTCTTTGCATGATGTTGAGGTAAACAGTGATAAGCCCATATTAACAGCTTGAATTGAGGTGCTGGAGTAGTTTGAGCTGATAAAAGGAGTCTGCGGTCTTCCCAGAGTGTAGAATCGTTCCCAGAAACTAGATCAGCAAGAGTGTGTACAAATGACAGTTTCTGAAACAAGAATTAAAAAGCGATAATATCACAGCTTAAAAGGTTAATGAGCTTTTTAATTAATCTTAGTTTAAAGAGCCTTATCACAGCTAAAATTTCTTTACATTTGGTGCCATAAGTAAAATGTAGAGAGTATTACAATATAAAATTAAATAGAATATTTGCGTTGGCGAGAGATACTCTGACATGGAAGTACTGAAGTAACATATTGGGCTTTAGGGGGCACAGGCTTCAATCGAGAGACTTGTAAAATTTCATTTGATAACTTTCCCCTCATTGGAATAGCAACTTCATAATTGAGGTCAGAGACTTTCTTGACGACCATGTAAGGGCCTTGATAGAGGGGTGATAATTTGGAACTGGGTCTTGAGAGAGTTACATAAACCTGGGAACCTGGTGTTAAATTTAAAGGTATATGAGATTTGTCGTAGTGTTGTTTGTACCTCTCCTGGGCTTTTTTTATGATTTCAGGCATTTCATGTCTGATTTTTAGTAATTGTTCGATGGATTCCAACAAATCAAGGGGAGGGTTGGGGGGTTCTAGGGATGCAGTGAGAGAAGTGTCCGGCTCATACCCATGGACCAGGTAGAATGGGGAATAGCCCGTTAAGGCTTGTGCATTTGAATTCTACGCAAAAGTAACAAAATGTAAAATGGTTGACCAATTTTTATTAGATTCACTGGTGTAATGTTTCAAAATTGTTACGATAGTTTGATTAAGCCGCTCCACCAAGCCTTGTGATTGAGGTCTGTAAGCAGTGCTGTGCTGCTTTTGGAATTTTAACTGGTGAGACAATTCTGTGATAAGTTCATTATCAAAATGTGAGCCTCTGTCGGTTGAAAATTTACTAAAAAAACCTTTTTGAGAAATAACATCACTTATAAGAAATTTGGCAACTGTGTTAGCGTCAGCATTATGGGTTGCTTTAGTAATCGCATATTTGGTGAGGGTACAAATGGCAATTAAAATATATTTATGACCGTACGCACTTGGTAATGGACCGAGGAAGTCACAAATTATGTGAGAAAAAGGTTTTCCAGTTAATGGCGGTGGAATGGGCTGCAGCAAACCGTACTTAACTTTTGCTGGCTTATTTAAGTTACAAGAATGACAACGGGAGATGTGGGTGGCTAAATCTTTCCGCATTGTTGGCCAGTAGAAATGTTTCTTTAGCCTATCGTAGCATTTTTTGAAGGAAAAGTGGGCTGATCCCGCAACTAGGTCATTATGAATATGGTGCAAATCAGAATTAATCAAGGATTTGGGCACATACAAAGCGTAAGACTCTTGATTTTTACACCACAAAAGGTAAATCAAATCATTTCTGAGTGAAAAGCGACGGCTTCGGCGTAAAACACTGGGATCAGAAATTGTTTCCGGAGAGATAATAGCCTTTCGTACGGTCTCAATTTGTGGGTCCTTTAATTGTTCTGAATTAAAATTAGTGGACATTAAAGCTAAATCATTATTTGAAATTGGCATATTTTTGTCCAAAGTGGCTATAATTGCGGTTACTGGGAATCTAGATAAATGGTCAACTGCCTTTATGGCTGGCGAAGAAGCTTTCTTGTAAATTACATCAAAATCATAGTCGACAAGTTTTGATACCAATTTGTTTCATCTAGATGACTTTTCTTTAAATGTTGTAAAATACTCCAAACTATTATGGTCAGAAAAAACTGTAAATTTGCGGCCATATAGGTAATCACGAAAATGAGGCACTGCTAAAGCTAGCCCCTGGAGTTCAAGTTCAGTCGAACCCCAAGACGGTCGTGATTGAAGTTTTTTGCTGAAATAACCAATAGGATGTAGTTTTTTTGTTTCTGGGTTACGCTGGGCAAGGATAGAGCCAGTAGCCAATTTCGAAGTATCTACAATTACCACGGTTTCACGATCTTCATTGAAGTTTTGCAACACTGGTTTTTGCGTGAAAAGAGAAATCAAAGTCTTGAACGCTGATTTTGCTGCAGGTGTTAAAGTAAATTGTTTGTCGGAAGAGATTTTGAGGAGATCATACAATGGGGAGCAAATCTTGGCAAAATTGTGGATAAATTTACGATAGACAGAACAGGATCCCAAAAATGAACGTAATTCTTTCAAAGATTTTGGCGGTTTTGCATTTAGTATTGGGATTAAATTTTTGGTTGATGGAGCGATACACTGGTGACTAATCAAATATCCTAGGATGTCTATTGATTCGCAACATACTTGGGATTTCGAAGTTTTTAGGCGTAAGAAATGTTTTTTTAGCCTTTCGAATACGCTATTTAACAGCTTAACGAGGGTTTCATAGTCTTTGCTGTAGACGATCAGATCATCAATGAAGATTATGACACCGTGATACAACAGGTCGGCAAACACTTTGTTCAGAGCCCTACTAAATGATGATGATCCATTTTTAATGCCCATAGGTTGTCGGTTAAACTCAAACAAACCTCTACTAGTTGTGAAGGCAGAACATTTCCTAGATTTTTCAGATAACTCTTGTTGGAAAAATCCGCTCAAAAAATCAAATTTGCTGAAATATTTGTACTGACGAAGCTCAGTGATCAGGGATTCTATTCTTGGTAATGGGTATCTGTCTGGAATGACCTTGGCATTTAAGCGACGATAGTCGACAACAAATCTTTTGTCAGATAGCGATAAATTGGTAGATTTTTTTGGAACTCCAGGTTTGGTAACTAAAAAGGCTGGGGACGCATAAGGCGAAGTGCTATCATGAACAATACCAGCTTGTTTTAACTGATCAATGAATTCATGCAATTGTTCATCCTCCATAGGTGACATGTGAAAAGGAGGAGAATGTACAGGAATGTTATCTGTTAAATTTATTTCAGCAGGCATCAGCGTGCTTTATGTATTTCAGTTTGTGAGGATGCAAAGACTTCAATGTTGTTTTGTATGATTTCCTTGACCTGGTTGAGAACAAGTGGCGGTATTGATCTATTGATGAAAATTTGAGTTCCTGATTTGTCAACAGGGAGCAAATTTTCTGGAATACTATTACTAGAATTTGTATTGGAAGTAATATTGGTTACAACATTCTTGTGAGTTTCATTTTCATTTTCAGCGTTTTGGAATTGTAGAGTAAAATAATTACCCATTACAGAATTAATCTGCAGCTCTTGGGCTAGGAGGACACAGTTAATGCATGTAGGCGTATCCACAAATCTACTTGCACATATATTTTGACATGTATTAACTGTGATAATTTTGCTTCTCAAACCTGCCATTTTAATGGAATTGGTTGATTGGCAAGGAGGTGCACTACGTGTACTAGTAGGAACAGTGCCAATATTTACTGTGTGGAAAAGCTGGACTAGCAGTATTTTTCCTATTCTGTGATTTGGAATTCTTTATAGAAACATCATTTATATTATTGCAAGGAAAAGGGTCAGCATCTACTTTTCTAATTAGATTTAAGAATGCCTTCTTTTCAAAGTTGTTTGTTCTTTGAAATTACTCCAAGTTTTTCTTGAAGCAAATGGTACCAATGGGTGTATCCGGATATAAAATGATTTCTTGATGAGAGAGGTTTTTAACTGGTAAAGAAAATTGAGTTAAACAACATCTATTTATTTATAAATTTTTTGACTCCGACCATTTGAAATTTGGTTCAAAAAATAAATTTGTTTGAAACGCTGGAAACTCACAATGAATGTTCACGCCAGTAACTGATAATGGTGCTAGACAAGTGGTATTTTTAGTTACTAAGTACTTGTAAACTTAAAGGGTATTCTAACGAATACAAACTATTTTCTAGCTTATGTACAGAAGGGGCGGAAAAGGTTGTTCCTTGGTGAGTGAGTTGAATGCAGTTTGTTTTATAATCTATGATGGCTTGGTGTGTTTTCAAAAAGGAGTCGCCCAAAATTAAAGGAGACGATAAGGATTTGGTAACATACACATAGGTTTTCAGTTCCCTACCGGCAATGTTGAGCAATACGAAACCTCGTTTAACAATGGGTAACGATTCATTGTTGGCTGTTTTCAAGTCGACTTTCTTTCCTTTTGCAGAAAGGACAAAATTTGCAAAAGCGATAGAACAAACGGATACACTAGCGCCGCTATCAATAAGCGCTGTGGTGCTATGATTTTGAACTTTCACATCAATAAAAGTAGACAAGCCTAAGCTTAATGTACACATAGAGGTTTCTTTGGCGACTTTAGTTTTTGTTTGCGGAGCCATGCGTTTAAAATGGGTGTCCTTTCGAGCTATTTTAGGACTGTCCTTTCTCACACGAGACAAAGGAGGAAAATGATCTTCATAAACACTAGAGGAACAGGGGTTTTCAATTGCCTTTGGCGTGAAGCTTTTGCGATTATGGGGAATCGACGTCTTAGATTTATTTCTAAAAATACCACTTTCTAAAAATTTTGATTGTTGCCATCCTTTTTTAAAGCAAAACAATCTCTCTTTAGATGGCCGCCTTTTCGGCAGTGAACACAAAAACGTACTTTACATTGGCTTGTATCACCCGCAAATAAGACATGTAGCACTAGGATAGGTTTGGGTTTTCGGTGGTTGGGCAGGGTATGGAATGTACGGTGGATGAAATGACAGCACTGGGCCTGGATGAAAAGGTTGTTGTTGGTAAAATGGTGGGTGTGGAAATTTTTGATTGTTGAATTTCTTTTTCTTCTTTTGTTGCGATCTATAGGAATCATTCGTTTGCAAACGAGGTTGGGTATTTTGATTAGCTTGTAAAGCAGAAATTTTGTTTATGATTTCATCCAGCTTGAGCTCAGCTGTTTCATTATGCGAGGGTTTACTAATGTTAGCAATGTTTAAATTTATATGCCGCTGTTCGAACTTCTTTAAGGAGGATTCAAATTCATCCATCGTACTATGTGGGAAGAGGGAAAATGTGGTTTTAATAGCCATGGGCATGCCTTTTAACAGATGAAAAATAACCTGAGCATCCGACATATTTGGATCGATTTTCTTACAGATGGTACGCACTTTAAAGGAGTATTCCTTTAGATCCTCCGCAGAATCAACTTTTAAATTTTCTAATTGGACTGTGAGTCGAGAAACTTTGGCTACGTCTTTGAATTGAGATTTAAATTTAGCGGTAAACTGTTCAAAGGTGAGGGCAGGGTAAGATGTTTTCAAAAATTCAAAATATTCAAGCGCTGCACCTTTTAAATATTTTTGAACGAAGAGAGGCACATACTCTTTTTTCCAGTTGTTGACTTGGACTGCCGCATCCAAAGACTCTAAAAATTTCTCCACAGTCACATTATTCCCGTCGAAAACTGTGGGTAAGATAATTGGAAAATGTTTAAAGTGTGACGGAGGCACATTATCACCTGGTGGGTCATTTTCCTTGTTGTTAGACATTTCTGAAACTGTTTTTTTAAAAGTTAATTTACGGACTACTTTGGATGGGACCACAAAGTCTGAGAGGGCGCTTGGGAGTTTTGTGGGACGCGTAGAGTGCCGTAAAGGGTCTTGGGAAGAACTAGGACCAAGTAACGTATCAATTACTGTAATATCATCCTCCGCCTCTGAGTGGGACATTTACAAAATACGATGCTATGCAACCTGAAAAGAAGAGAAGAACATTTGGGGAACAAAGCATGAACTGAGAAATTGATTCACCTGGTTAAGGTTAGAAGTGTGGTGGGTAGTCGAGTTGAGATCATGCCCATTCTGAGGTTGAGAATTGGAATTTAGCTGCCGTTGGAATGTCCATCACGAAGTCGGGATTCGGATTTAGGCCACCAGTGAGAAGTCCATGACGAGGTTGGAAACTCGATATCAGGTTATTCAGTCCTCAAGGGTTCGCCGAAGTTTCGGCACCATGTTAAGGTTGGCGATTAGCCGGGTGGGAGAGCAGAGAGAACCCAATTTGATTCGATGACACAAACTTTTATTCCATACTTCACAGAGCACACAGCCCGAATAATCCGACGAAACGCACTCTCATTCCTCACCAACTCGTTGCTTCCCCCTCCAGTGATAAGCCGAGCAATCCACTCCTCTGATTGGCCAGGGGAACTTCTCAAGCGATGCTCCAAAGCAAACTCGAAATTTCCCCGGCCAAGAGAGCAGCCGTGCCAACTGAACAAAGGAGAGGCAAGCAACGTCAGGGAGTCGCTATACTAACGCTATACTTGACAAAGGGCTCCTCATTCGAAGAGTTGAGGAACGGTGCATCGCTCAGGGTTCAAGGTCCAAGGTCCAAGGTATAAGATTCAAGTCAATTTTTTCTGCATTCTTCCGGCTTCGATTTGTGGCATTGGTCAATTTACTTGATAGCTGAATTTCTATCATGAGTGGCGAGCCACAACCGGGCAAGTAACCTATCCTCCAACAATTGGCAACACAGCACAGCCCGGTCGAGGCAACGACACCATAGTTACACGAACTTGGCTTATTTGGGTTTTTTTCTTTATCCGCCTTGGGTTTTTAGTTGCGGTCCAGTAAACTTTTAAAGGCAACGGAGCGACGGATTTTAGAAATTTTGGTGTCTAAAGATGCGTCTTGATCCCGTCTAACGAACTGTTTAGTTTCAAGGAGGTTGATGATTAAGAGTGGCGGTAGCCACCCTCGGTCGAGGAAAATGACGTCCTACTAAAGTCCCGATAACAAACGGGTGGCCGACACTCTTAGTCACAGGCAACTCCCTTAATCTGAAAATTGATTCGATTGCCATTCGACTGCAGCCCAAACGACGGCACGGATTCCTACGATCTTGGTGTCTACGGACGCATCTCAATTAGGACTACAAAGTGGAAGAGTTTCATTAAGATCCATTGAGTTTTCAAAAAGTTATAAGCACTTAATGACCCAAAACAAGGAAAATTTTACTTTTTACTTTGCCGAGAAATTTGAATTTCAAGAATCCAGGGTCCTGAGAAAGTCACTCAAACTCCGCGATAACGGTAAACCTTAGACCCATAAAAGTTGGTACCTAAAGAATCGCCATGTTACCGTGTGTGCCGCTTTTGACTTTATTTTAACATTCCAAATGTTTTAGAAGAGAAATTACGTAAAAACGACTAAACTGACTGCCGACCTCCCCGTCAAGACCACCTTTCACAGCAGATTTCTAGCTTACACGTTGGCCGATTCCAGTGAAACGTACAAAGGATCAAGGTTGAGGATATGAGGATTTCATTTCTACCACATTTAATAGGGCTTCATCGCACGGATAATTCAGCATCGGCTAATATCTTTCACAATTTTAGCTGTAATCTTTTGAATTTAGAAAAAAACCGGTAGTGGTTCAATCAATGCTATTGGTTGATTCTGTTCAGGTCCGTCCGAGTTTCCGGAAGGAAATTCTCGTCGTCGATTATACCAACCTCCAGCTCCTGTATTTATTTGTGAATAATGTACAGATTTAATTTAAAAGTTCGATTCATTTTAGATAGACCCTAACTAATATTACACACTTATATTATTACGTCCACTTTTATCCCGATACATTACTTCATTGGTTTCTTAAAAATTTTCATGTGATTAACTGACGAACGCAACTGTAAGTTTAAGTCAAGGCAGATAAAGAATGGTGGTCGCATTTCGTACCCTCTGGACGTCACACGGTATCGGGTACATCGGGTACATGGGCTGGCCGAGGCCGGGGGGGGCCGACTCAACCTCGGATTGCACGGCATAACCCGTACCCTCCTGACGTCACAACGCTTCAAGATGGCAGCCAAAATCGAAATGCGACCACCGGCACCATTCTTTATCCGCCTTGAGTTTAAGTGAGGTTATGTCGTCATGTTTATGTTAGAACCTGACCTAAGCGATAGATGTAATTCAGGTAAATTACGTTAACGAAATTACACCGAAATTGTGCCAAACTCTCCAAAGGAAGCAGCATTTACATCACAGAATGTATTCTCACTACTAAAGTCTAAAAATTACTGGAATATGAGCCTCGGCCTTCACATGCGACTGTCACTGAACTTCGACCAAAATTTATTCGCTCTATATCTTGCCATCAACCTATGTGCTTTGGAGTGATTATGTTTCTCTGAAGTGTATGTTATTTACATTAAGAACATGTTTCCTTCATGATTTATCTTGGAATCCTCCTATCTCTTCTACCATTCTTGTTACGCGTGGCTTGCGAACCTGAGTATGTGAGGCACAATTCCATCTATTTTCGGAACAGTTCAATCATAGGTCAACTTAATGTCACATAATCAAAGGTCTTTGAC